ATGTGAAGTAGACAGGCAGCGTGTGACCCTGTCCAACCGTCACACTAACCTTCACGACACTGAGTTGTAGTCTGCTAAGCTTGGTCTTGATTGCATGAACACCTCATTCACAGTGTCCCAATGGACCCTGGCAATGATCACAGTGATCTGTGGCCTGAGCACCGTCTGCTTGGAGCATGCTGCCATTGAATGACGGTTTGAATCTGACAAGATGTCGTCCGCATTGCTTGGACCGTTATCGATCGTCAAGATTGATTTACGATGGAATCCATGCAACCGGAAGAGCCTCTTGGAGGGAGTATCTGAAAGAGCCCCTTGGAGGGAAAGACCAGCCAAACGCGTAGCATATATGATGCATAGTGATTCCGTACTTAGACGCAGTCAAACGACCCGTTGCAAAGTTGCATCCTCTCCCATGGGAAGTCCAAGTTCTGGCTATCTGGGAGAGTCAATACTTTGAGCTCATCATTCAGAAAGTTGCATGAGTCCTACATGTGTTGCGATCGCTGAGGCCCCGTATATGAATGCGCCATGTGCACAATCAAACGCCATCAGTGGAGACTGAAGGTGACATGAGATAATGCAGCATTGGCTGCCCCAAAGCAGGACATGAGCAGCATGCGTGTCCAGTAGTAAGAGCCAGTACGGTCTAGCGCAATGTAAAATTCCTGCCAAACATGCCTCTTTAAGCTCTTGGAAGATCCAGGTCATAAAACCAAGGAAGAAAACATCAGGCCCAAGATCCGATGTTTAGATCGAACCGAATGTGGGTTGCCTGTATCCCTTATGCTTCTCTTCCGCGTCCATTTGCAAAGACGACCTTGTCCTTTTTGTACAAAACCTAAGCACAACTTGCCCCGTTTTCACGACACGCTGCGCCGCACTAAAGCCTGCTCGTAGGTTTGCCCATAGCGGTCCTTGACGGTGTACGTGCGCTCGTAGAATTGTGCTTTTGGACCGTTGACGAAGTACCCGACCGTTTCCAGAAGGTGGGCGTTGTTGTAGTACATGGAATGGATGGTCCAGTCAGAGAAGGCGAAGGCAGGGGTGATCTCTAGGGTCGTGATCCCCGGGAGAATTGGCACGAGCTCAGCAGGGCTATAGGCATCGGGTTTTCCAGCTTTTCTGGCGTCCTCCAGGTTCCGGCCGGTCCGCATGACCTGTCCGGTCATGCACCGGTGCTCGTCCAGGAGCTTCTCCTTGGCCCAGAAGGCCGCATCGTGGTTTGCGGCCACAATCCCGACCTCGAAGGATTCCTCTGCGCTTCTCAGCGCCCAGCCTTGCCGGGCCGTCCAATCAAGTTCTGGGTGCTCTTGCGGCGCTTGTGCCACGAATCCGGCTCTGATCTGGTCCATCGCAATGCTGAGGGCGGGCCGCAGACTGGACCAGGAGAGATCCCCGTTGGCGATCACGACAGTCACTTTTGAGAACGGGGGACAGCTGGCGCGGGGGTAATCTAGTAAGGTATTCAGGATTATGAAGAAAGCGCGCGAGCCCAACGAGTGGACGCTCAGAACGAAGTGTCTGCACTCCATGATCACAAAGGAGTCGAGCTCCGCCTGCAAAGGAAACGGGGAACTCATTCAATGGCACAGTGAGAAAACCAGGAGTGAAGGTCCGCAACCTTTCTCGCTAGATTCGTCAAGAATACTCCACCGAAACATCAGGATGTCTTCCGAGGCGTAGTTGTATGTCCCCGCGCTCTTTGCAAACAGGCTCACGAGGCTCTCGTTGGGGAACGCGCCGCTTGGCCAGAGCAGGCCCCAAGCGACGGCCGTGACGGGGGCGTGGCCCACCACCTGCAATCATTGGCAAACAATCAAAGAAGGCACACGGCTCCTCAAATGGAGAGCTGCATGCGACGTGGGAATCTTGATTCAGACGGAATGACACCTGAAGCAGTGCACAACCCCTCAAGCATGAACGAGGCAGCGGCGGAACTCTTACCAGGTGCCCCATGATCTGCTGGAGGAAGTCCAAGAGCGTCGTTCTCCACGTGGAAAGAGCAGGAGAATATTCAATGTTGGAGACGGCAACCAGAAGTTCACAGGCCCGCTTGCTCATCAGGGGACCGAGGAAAGAGGTCAGGACTGTGAAGTTCACGGCACTGGCGGCGGATTCAGAACGGATGGGAGCTGCTATCAGCCACTCCTGGAGGGCAGCCGGAGCTCGGGGGCTTCGTTCCAAGTCAGCTCACCCATGGATGAACGCCTGGATTTGTTCGATGACCAGCGCCGACATGACCCGTTCCCGTCCTTCGCCGGTCCGGAAAACGAAGAGTTTCTTGATCTCCCACCGAAGACCTGGATTCCTGTGCAGGCGCTCCCAGACCACCTGCAAGAGCAAAGCCGCACTAAGCGTCACACGTGCTAGGCCACACAAGTGACAGCAGGCTCCTGACCGTTCCAAGGAGTGCAGTGCCAAGACCACTACTTCACGAAAACAGGAAACATGCGGTCACGCAACACCTGCTCCTTGAACACAACTCAATCGAGCGCTTTCCTTCGAGACATCGATCCTATCCAGCCGGAGGAACAAACGCAACAGAAAACACTCTGGTCAAAGTCGCCCCAAGCCTACCCAGTAAGCGTGCTTTCAAGCCAAGCAAGGATTTGCAGCTCACCAGGAACATGATGTGCGCGCGATCCTCTGGTTTTTCGATCCACTCTCTCTTGAGCAGAATCCGGTCCGGCAGAATGTCCACCTTCATAACCAGGCTCAGGAAAATGCACCTCTGCAACGAAAGTACAGTAGAGGCTTAGACCGGAGAGTGTCTTTTTGAACTTCTGCGCGGCCTTGCTCCAGAATAATCAAGGATGCGAGTGCTCGCTCGGCACTGCAGCAAAAGCTCAAGGACAAACAGACGGAATGAACAGTCTCGCATTTGCCCCCGTTCTTAGGAACACGAATCTCAAGGCAGATTATGCTGACCACAACAGGAGGTGGCAAGGAGCGTTTTCTCACCATTCCAGAGCGCGCATTGTCATGCTGAGGAGACTGGTAACGCTTCCTCCACTGAATCTTCAGCTGCTCGTCGCTCGGCGGGAGATCCGTGAACGTTTCGGGGGTGTAAGGGATCTCAAACACCCCGTTCGCCGAGCTTGAAGCGGCGCTTCCGGCTCTGCTCGCGCTTCAACCCTGGAGCGATCCCCCGCCAAGGTGGCCATTGGGGGGCCCTCCTTGGTGCTGCGAGAGGGAGGGCCGGGCGCAGCACCGGGCAGCACCGGGGGGGGAGAAACGCGACTCTCACGGGGGGGGGCTGTATCCGGTGGCGGGGTTCTTATGCTTGGGCGGCTTGCAGGCGGGGGCTGCACCAGCACCTGCGGCTGGTTTCGCCTCTCGCCTGAAATGGTGACCTGAGGGGGCGCGCTCAGTGCCGGTAAAGCTGAGACGGGGCCCGTTGACCCGCGTGAATGAAGCTCAGCAGAAGTTGCTGGAGGGAGGGCAGAACCGGGGTTCCAGGGGGGCGACGCCAGAGGGGGCAGCCGTGGCCAGTGCGTTTGAGTCAGGTAGCCGGTTGACGCCTCTACGGGAAACCCCTGGGGCACCTGAAAACAAGAAGAGAGGAGGGCCGTGAAGGGGACTCATTGGAGCCAGATACACAGGTGAGCAGAAGCCGCTTGGTGAAGGATGCACGCAGACACAAACTACATGGCAGATTGCCTGCAGTAAAGGTAATGCTCCACAGGGCTGTTGCGCAAGAAGATGCCGTTTGGTAGTGCTCATGTAACGATTACGATTGGTT